TACTTTACAATGCCAACGAGAGATGTCATAATTTCATCTACATTCTCTGTTTTAATGCCACAATATAAATTTCCTGTTTTTTGTGAACGAACTTTTCCCTTGATGCATTATTTATGGCTTTATTGATATAAGGATAAATGTATATAAAAATTGATATTTATTTGCCGGCCGAGGAAAAGCTTATACAGTACGTGCCAATAAACACTATGATATATTAATGTTTGCATTTATTTATGCCGCTCTAAAGTAAAGTGCCATTTAATATTAAAGCGGAGGAAGAGGAAGCCAGTCAGTCGAATGGGTTAAATGCAATGTTTTATGCAACAAATTCAATTCCGATGTCACGTCAACGTCAGATGGGAAATTCCTTTGCCCCTCCTGTTCACTTGAGGGATACACACATAAATCGAGAATTTATTGTGTTCTTCATTACTTAGACGAAGGAAATTTCATTGGCACACATTTCCTTTATTTATTGCGTTTGTGGTAATTCTTTTAGAGGACTAATCGATAGCACGTGACGCTTAAAGGTGAACGACTGTGTGTCAACTCTGGGTTGAACGCACAGATAAGACAAAAGGGGGGATTTTGGGGGGGGGCGGAAAACCCGGCATCCACACGGCAACAGGATGACAACGAACGAGGACGGCACACACAAATTGACTTTTTAAGTTGGCAACAATGTGGCTACAGCTGACGAAGGACGACGGCATGCGGCGGTGGTGGTATAATAATAATGGAGCGCAATAAAAAAATGTGGGCGAAACAGAACCATTTTCCATTTCCATTTTGCGAACCAAACCAAACCACCCCCTCAAAAAACCCCCTTATCAAAGACGCTCTACATTTCTCAGTATATGTGTGTGTTTGGGCCTGTCATCGGAAAATGACGGCATTACGGCATTTACAGTTAATGCCTTTATGTCCTCGAGGATTTGGCCTGACATGCGGTTGGTTTGGGGGCCCAACCCCCTAGGGGAATCACATTCTTTTTTGCATAATATTTGATTTTATTAGACAGTGTGAGAGACCATTGTCGCAACTATTTTGGGGCCACATTGTTAGTTTTGGCACAAATGTAGTTCAAATGCGCTGTTTAAAATGCTTGGGGATCAGCAAGAAAAATAAAAACGAAACTAGGCTTGAATAAATTGGGATTCACGGATTAAATTTGTTGTCTATATTACTTTTTAGGCAAATTTATTTAACTGGCTGTAGATATTAGCAAATAAGGAATTTTCCGATAGATGACTTGCACATCTCCCTCTCACTCATTCATCTAAGAAACGGGTATTTGATAGCTGAGGTTGCTTCATTTTATTTTATGTCTTTTAATACATATTTTAAACAAATTGTAAGTTCTGTGACCCTCTGAATAATTAAATTGTTGATGGTTATCAACACAAATAGACGCTTTGATTTATGTTTGCTACCACAATTCATTTAAATTAGTAATAATTGGCCCACAGACCTGGATTTATTGACCTCGTATTTTCTATTTTCATCTTGACACAACCACACACACACAAGCCGCATCATAACTGCCAAGTTTTCATATTCGTGTTGCCGTCTTTCCAGCGCATTCAAAGCCGCAATATCCAATTAAGTATTCATTTAGTTTTGTCAACTTCAACAATGGAAATTCATTGCTCGTGTGCAGCAACACAACCATCAACAACCCACAACACATCCCCCAAAAAGTGAACTAGAAAATTACATTTTCATGTCACACACACAATCTAGACACAAACACACTCTCAAATGAAACCGAATCGCTTGTCAGCGATGGAAAACCCGAGAATTGGTAACTGGCAGCTCTGCTTTTCGTTTGCTGACCCATCAGCCCACCCATCAACAATGATATATTCGTATACTTTTTCGATTCCCAACTCTTTGCCAGCAATCCCCAATCGGCCATTTGCATTGGGTTTTTGATATGTAATATGTGCCGGTGCGTTGGGGTTATAAATCGCTCGTTTTTGCGGCAAAGTCTCTATAGGTAGAGGTCCTATGTGTGTGCCACCTGTCGGTCTGGGAATATTATTATAGAGAGGGATTTTATGGCATTTACATGGGAGGGACATGTTAATACCCTGAAAGTAATAAAATACGAAAAATATATTTAGGAGTACTAAATAACTCAAATTACATTAAAAATATGTCCGAAAAAAGCTGGGATATCACACTAAAAAGGTAGAAAAAATATACAAAATTAAATATGAGCTGGTAATCAAAAGTTTAATGGCATAAGTACAAAAGAAAGTATTTCACTGACTCATCTTTTACAAGCTGTTGATAACATTATTATTGGCATATTATCCTATCAGTTCATCCTATCGCACAAGCCCTTCAACTGTTGCTCTCTTTGTTGAACTGAAAGCTGGGGTAGTAAAAAATAATCCAGTCACTGACTTTTAAAGTACATCTCATAAAGCTGCGTACCATAATTGTATAGAAAATTCCCAACATTATCGCAGCTTCAATGTGCTGGCTACTCAGTTTCGTTTACGACGACCCCAAAAAGTATATAAAGGTTGCTTGACCCCCGTGGAACTTTTCGCTGTTGTTGTTGTTGCTGCTGAGCGGATGGGTTCATGAACTCGCCGAAAAACAAACTTTGACTTTTTATGGGCAAACGAACGCAAATCCATTCAAACTTTTATGCTTGTTGTTGGCAAAATTTAAAGCGCCACACGTTGTGTGTTTATCAAGTTGACTTGGGGACAATAAACGCAGACGTCGCGCCGACGAAACTCAGACAGTTTAAATGTCCTGGCACAATTTCCACACTCTAGCCACTCTGTAAGCAAGCCGTTCATCGCTGTCAAGTCAGCAACACTTTCAACCATTTCCATTTCGAGTGGCATTTTACTGCTCAACAGCTAAGTGCAGTGAAAGAAAATGTCAGATGAATACTAGGAATTTTTAAAATAAATTGAAAATTTAAAGAATTACTAAGTATTAGAAGTAGAGCTTGAAAATAAATCTACATTTCAATATTTATTGACAACATCAATATTATCAAAATAATATTCTGAGAAAATTGAAAATATCGATAATTTTGAAGCTCTCAAGTATGAAAGCAATAATAAAGTGACTAGCGCAATAATAATAAGCTTACGCTTGCAGCGCTAGGATATTATATCAATAAAAATTAAATTAAATTAAATAATAATAATAAACAAACTATTTTAAAATGTTTTTTAAAGTAAATACAACTTTTCTTAAATAATAAACGATCATTATACTGTAATATAAAATTTAATGGAAAAATTCTTAACTAAATTGGGATTTATTTATTTGATTTATTTTCCCAATGCATCCTCTTTGTGTTTGCTTATGGATAGTAAAGTCGCCTGATCTCCTCTCATAAGACTCCAGTTTGAACACGGCTTTAATAATTGACGGCATGCCATGCCAGGCGGACCGGAACAATGACAGGATATTAGCTAATGCCGCAAATGCATCCTGGCAACTGCCGGCAGAGCGACAATTTCATGCCAGCTGCGCACACACAACAAATGCGCAACAATAACAATTAAAATTGGAAACTGCAGCAGCAATCTAGATTGTCAGGGGAGGAACTAGCAGAGCTCAACCTTGGCCTCACAACACGCCCATCCCCATTTCGTCCTCTCAACTCCGCATTGGAGACCATAATTATCCAATTGAACAATAAACAGATGCCTGCCAGGCTTGAGTCAATAGACAATGGCTGGCTATACGGCGTAGAGAAGTTGAGCCTGCCCAGCTGGCAACCTTTCAAATGGTTGAATGTCGCTGTCGTTGTCCTGGTTTTTGTTGTTATGGTTGCTGCTGCTGCAACTGCAGTTGTTGCAGCGGTTGATATTGCTCCTGCATTTGCTGTATTGTGGTATTTTACGTATTGTGGCTTCGTCGAAAGGTTGTGTGCAAACCGTTGGCCTCCAGCAGACACGAGTGATGAGTTTCGCAAGTCGGGAGTGGTGCTAACAGAGATGTCTCTTGGGAAATTTAATTAAGTTTAATGTGTGTTGCTTATCTAAAAGAAAATAGCATCCAAGTATGGGTCTTATAAATTTTGAATAACTCAGAGCAATATTATTTTGATTTCAAGAATATTTGCTCTTGAAAAAGTAAGAACAAAATTTAAAATATTAAAATCAAGGAGAATTGCTCTTTCTAAAATTATTAAAATTAAAAAATTATGCAAAAGTTATTATTTATTATTTAAAAAAAATTATTATTAGCTAATATAAAGAAAAATTTAAATACTATTTTTCTGTAAAGAAAAATTAAAATACTATTTTTCTTTATATTAGTTTTATAATAATTTTTTATTTAAACTCGAATTGTATAGTACATATTTTTTCCTGTTCAACAATTTTATATTATAAAAAGTCATCTGTATCTTAATGTTCATTTTGTGACCACCTTAATGGCTTTATTATATTGCTACAGATAAATTTTATGGCGACAAGGTTGCAGAATCCCAATTAAATCAGCTATTATCCTCTAGCCTTGACTAATTTAAATTATGTCATCAACTAATTACGGATAGCACACAATTTATTACCTAAATAATATCTAAAATCGCATTTTAATAAGCTAAACAAATTACCGCAATTAAAATTGTTATGTAATATTTAATTTAATATTCAAATCTCTGGGCATCTCTTATACAAAAGGCTGATGAACCCAAAGCGGCTTTAAGCAGAGGGAATAGTAGTTGCACAAGGGGCCTTTCAGGATTTCAGTGCATAAACTGAATTCGCCTGCCGCCGGCCAAGTCAAGTGTAATAATGTGCCAAAAACGTTTAGGAAGCCACAGGATGCCGGACAATTGGCAAAAGGCAACTGTCTGTCCGGCTGAGTGGACACGGGTCAGTGGACTGACAGGACAGCACAGAGGGTCCTATCCTTTGTCTGGGGGGTCTGAGAATGTGTATTTAATGAATATTTATTAACACTAACTAATTTCGGTTTCTCCGCTTTTGTTTACTTTTATTTTTGGCTCACAGGTGACTGACGACCGACGACGACGACGACTAAAGGCCAGCAATGTGCAGACGGTCGCTGGCTGAAATTGCTGGCAGGACAACACACTGACCGCAAGGATCAACAACATCAGCCCAATCAAGGAGCAGCAGTTGCAGCTGTGAATGCAAAACCAGCAACTTTGGCTACTTTTTATATATACCTATCCAGAACACGAAATGCGTTTTTGCAGCTCGGCCAACAAGGACACACAGAAGTTAGCAGTTGATAGATGAACACTAATGCAAATGCCCTCCAAATTGCAACTTTTGATGCAAACTTAAGGCAGGGGCCCAAAAAAAAAAACAACACATAACCCAACTTGACTGATAGTTTAAACTACTTACTGTAAAGTAATCGAACAACAACACAACACACGGCTGCAACAAATTTTTAAATATTGTTAAGAACAACTCGTTAATTGCCAAACAGAAAATATGTGTTGCCCTAACTGAAGCTGAACAAAAATTAAAAACTAAATATTATTGTAATAATAATAGTATAACATTCAAGGAAAACCTCGACAAAAAGCTCAAGATCAAGATCAAGAGTTTAGGCCACGAGATACTTGCTTGAGCCATGGGCAACAAATGCTGCAGCAAGCGACAGGATCAGGAATTGGCACTGGCCTATCCCACTGGGGGCTACAAGAAATCCGACTACACCTTCGGCCAAACGCACATCAACAGCAGCGGCGGCGTCGGCAACATGGGCGGCGTTCTCGGCCAGAAGCACAACAACGGTGGATCGCTGGACTCGCGCTATACCCCCGATCCGAATCATCGGGGTCCGTTGAAAATCGGCGGAAAGGGCGGCGTTGACATCATCAGACCCCGCACCACACCAAGTGAGTATTTCCCCGGATGTCAAGCCAATCTAATATGCGTATTATCATCCATTAGTAATTACAGTGAAGCATCAGTAGCAAATATTCGAAAACTTTAACAAAAAAGTAATAAGAAAAATCGATACAGTATCGATATATTATTCAAAGATCGATATTAAAATTAATAAAGTAGATAACATAAAAATAAATTTATTAAAATAAATAAAAATATCAATAAAATCGAAATTTTACGCTAAATGCGATATATTCGATATATTATCGATATTTTCGATACGAAATTGAGTTCAATAATTTTGTCGATATATCATATCGCCAGTTAACGCTTTTAAACTTTTCCCGTATTTTTAATTAAGGAAGGAACTTAATGTTGCTGAAGTTTCACTGTCTGTTTACATATTATCATGCATTAGTAATTAGCTTTTGGCTGTGTTACTCTCTCCAGAGCCCGTGGGTGGAGTGATAATTCCAGCTTTTAATTAGCAATTTGACTTTTTGCCTGCCACAGAGATTGGCTTTTACCCGCTGGTTGGCCTTGTGTTTGCATAATGTGGCAAGCAGGCAGCCAGGCAACCAGCCAAACCATCCAACTAACTAACCTGCCACATAACCCAGCTGTGTACCCTCTACCAACCCCACTGCCATAATTAGAGTTCGCCCCCCAGGAGGTTCAGAGGTGGAAGTCAAGTCATTTGCCAGGTGGCAACGCAATTCTCATATTTGCAGTGGTAATACGATGACAGTCGTTAACCTTGACCACTTCTCCTCGGGTGCGTGGCCCAGAAAATGAGGAGGGGTTCGCTGCTCTTGGTGTTAGTTTAACGCCACCTTGACGGCGATATTGCATACCATATGACACGACATTGCGTTTACGATACCCCAGAGAGTTGGCCAAAAGGAGTTGCAGTTAAGAAAGTGTTTTATAAGTAGGCAGAGGGGTTGCTATATTTGCTATACGCAAATTTGAAGGTCTGTAGGGGAAATTCTAGGTGGAAAGAAATTAGTAATGCAAATATAGGGGGGACATTTAGAAGGTTATAAAAATAAACTGCATTTTTATAAAGAACCTAGTCAATGCTAGTAGAACTAGTTTTATAGTTACTGGCGAAGCAAACTATAGTAAGAATATTTGAGGCGAATATGGAAGTTGTAGCTTTACTGGCTTTACAAAATGTAAAAAAAAAGTTTTATATGCCTAACGATTTTTTCAAAATATTAAAATTTTTTAAACTACTTTTCCTTTGATCGAAATAATATATATTCCAATTTAAAGATTTTTATTACTACATACTTCTTCTGTAGAAATTCGCATACTGCATAATTTGGGGCTGACTCCCCCCTCTCAAGTATTTCCATCATATAACTGTCACATTTGTGCAACATTGAAATGGCAGAATTATTTTGATCTGACCTGTCACAAGTTGAGAATGCAGACCTCGCTGGCAGCCGATTAACTAACTGCTGGCATTTCTATCCGTGACATGACAGTACTGCTGCCTTATAGCACATATATATAAAGCCGCTTAGGTCGTGTAAACCCATGAAGAGGTTGAGTGCTTGGCCAGTGATTTGTGCCTTTGCCGCCGCCTTTGTCAGCACGAACATTGCATTTGGCATGGTTTTGGGGTGTGGTGAACCCCTCGAAACCCTTCAGAAGGGTTAAAAGGGGAGGGAAGGGGGAATAACCAATGGAGGGCAGCGAGCGGCCAAGGCAATTGGCAAGCGGCGAGAGCAGTTTATTTATGCGTTGCCTCGCTAAATCAATTAGCCAAATGCAAGTCAGTGCCAAAAATTGTGGCTTGGCAGAGCGAAATGAAATTGTTTTGTTGTTTATGGGCCCCGGCCCCCAAAAAAGTATGCTATCCAATTTCGCAATTTGCATTTGGCACCCTCTCATCTCTCCCCATACTTTAACTCATTAAATTCTAATTAAGTTTTGGCCATGGCAAATTGGTTAGTCAAATAGGCAAAAGAGGAAAATATAAAAAAAATATTATTTCCCAATTTGTCGCCATAAATTGCAATTTAAGGACGCAAATCAAATTTGCCCAGCCAGACGAAAATTGCCACTAACTCGACGACGACCTCTCATGCCTCATCCTCCAGATTTTATTATATTTTTCCTATTTTCAGCCGGCGTTCCTGGTGTCGTGCTAAAGCGCGTGGTCGTGGCCCTGTACGACTATAAATCCCGCGATGAATCCGATCTGAGCTTCATGAAGGGCGACCGCATGGAGGTCATCGACGACACCGAGTCCGATTGGTGGCGCGTCGTCAATCTGACCACCCGCCAGGAGGGCCTCATCCCGCTCAACTTTGTGGCCGAGGAGCGCAGCGTGAACAGCGAAGAGTAAGTGCTTTTACAAGTTTAGGCAGGAACTTGGTAATCTATCTGGTTTTTACTACTATCTACTTACACACAAAAATAAAAAACTATGTAAAATCAACTACTTTATAAAAAAAAAAAACAACTTTTTCTGCGAATGCGGGGTTTGAAATCTAACCAAGGGAAGATTATGGGGCAGAAACTGTAATTACTTAAGTTCCAGAAAAATAGTTGATCTATTAATTAGAATTGCACTTTTTAAAAAACAAAAGGTAAACAAATTGTTGAGTTAAAATGTTATTTTTAATGTCACTACTCGCAAAAAAAATAATATTTAAATAAAAATTGCCGAAAATAGTAAATTACTTTTTTTTAATGTTGGTTTTACATAGTATTTTTTGTGTAATAAAATCAACTATTGCCTGCTTTGAATATTTCTGTGTTTCTATAAAATATTAATACAACCTCTCCTATTTACAGCTGGTTCTTTGAGAACGTGCTACGAAAGGAGGCGGACAAGTTGCTGCTGGCCGAGGAAAATCCGCGTGGCACTTTCCTCGTGCGACCTTCAGAGCACAATCCCAATGGTTACTCGCTGTCCGTCAAGGATTGGGAGGATGGACGTGGCTACCATGTAAAGCACTACCGCATCAAGCCGCTGGATAATGGCGGCTACTACATAGCCACCAATCAGACTTTCCCCTCGCTCCAGGCCCTGGTCATGGCATACAGCAGTGAGTATAAAGATTTTCAGAAAGCAAATTGAATTGCAAAACCTATTGATTGATTTCCTTATCTCTGAAGAAAACGCTCTTGGCCTGTGTCACATACTGTCGCGTCCCTGCCCCAAACCGCAGCCCCAGATGTGGGACTTGGGACCGGAGCTGCGCGATAAGTACGAGATTCCGCGCTCCGAGATTCAGCTGCTGCGCAAACTGGGACGCGGCAACTTTGGCGAGGTCTTCTACGGCAAGTGGCGCAACAGCATCGATGTGGCGGTCAAGACCCTACGCGAGGGCACCATGTCCACCGCTGCTTTCCTCCAGGAGGCGGCCATAATGAAGAAGTTCCGCCACAATCGCCTGGTGGCCCTCTATGCGGTTTGCTCGCAGGTAAGTGGTGCTAAATACTATTTAAATCCTGTATATTAACCTAGATTTAATCTCTTTTAGGAGGAGCCCATCTATATCGTGCAGGAGTACATGTCCAAGGGCAGTCTGCTGGACTTTTTGCGCGAGGGCGACGGACGCTACTTGCACTTTGAGGATCTCATCTACATAGCCACTCAGGTGGCCAGCGGCATGGAGTATCTGGAGTCCAAACAGCTCATCCATCGCGATCTTGCGGCCCGCAATGTGCTGATCGGCGAGAATAATGTGGCGAAGATTTGTGATTTTGGGCTGGCGCGTGTTATCGCCGACGATGAGTATTGTCCCAAGCAGGGTTCACGGTTTCCGGTCAAGTGGACGGCGCCCGAGGCGATTATCTACGGCAAGTTCTCGATCAAGTCGGACGTTTGGTCCTATGGCATTCTGCTAATGGAGCTGTTCACATACGGACAAGTGCCCTATCCGGGCATGCATAGTCGCGAGGTGATTGAGAACATAGAGCGCGGGTTCCGTATGCCGAAGCCAACGAATCACTACTTCCCGGACAACATCTATCAGCTGCTGCTCCAGTGCTGGGATGCTGTGCCCGAGAAGCGGCCGACGTTCGAGTTCTTGAACCACTACTTCGAGTCCTTCTCGGTCACGTCGGAGGTGCCGTATCGAGAGGTGCAAGACTAAACACAGAGTCCAGCCTAATCATACACACATCACCAACACCTACACTACACCCTCTCACACGCATACACACCCGTACGATATATATATATAGTATATAAAGTTATACATATATTATACATTTATATGCATATTTACTATAATTCTTAAGACTTTTTAATGGCATAGTTGCATACAAGAAAACCAAACAACACACATGAACTCTATATGTATGGTATATGTATGTGTTTAAGCGTATCTAAACAATTCAAACAAACCAACTACAAACGAAAAAATCAACAAAACAAGCAAAAAAAAAAAAAAATCTAAAATCGGAAAACTAAATTTTATATTTTACACGCAAAACTATTGTATAATTTATATACCTAACTATAAAACTGAAGTGTTTAAACTGGCGTTAAATTATCCTTGATTTCTTGGTATAATTATTTGTCCTTTAGCTGTAAGCATAAAAAAGAAGTTAAATACTTTATATTTTGTAGTAAATACTATGGAAATACAAAGTATATAACTAGTTTTTTAAGCTGAACCATAAACAGGGGGAGGCCGAAAAATTATTCCAACAATCAAGAGCAGAACCCAAAAGAAATGAAAATGTTTTTTCTAATCGAATACAACTACAATTTAACGCTATTTTAACAACTGCTTAGGTTTTGTGTATTAACAATCCAATCCAATCTACAACTAGAACTTTTTGATCTTAACCTCCCTCTCTGCTGAATAGTTTCTTCTGATACTTTCCACACACAAACACGACTATCGACTAAGCCAAGTATTATTTGACTCAATCAATCCGTATCCGTATCAAGAAATCGAAATCATTTACGTATTTCAAATTGTTGCTAATGAGAAACTCCAATGATGGCATTTACTTATAAGGTGGCGCCCACCCCTCTCGTCTTTACTTCCAAGTCAGAAATGTAGATGATGATCTATCACCCAAAAAACATAATATGTTGCTTCTTCCTCGAATAGTTGAGGCTAGGAAAAAAGAAAAGCGAAAATTGCATTTTGTACAAATCATTGAAAAGAAAACAAAACAAAAAAAACAAGCGCATTTCACGTATTTCGTTGTTAGCAATTGAACCAATGAATGTTTATAGTACATTTAAGTTTATGCCAAAATTATTGTTTATTCTTTGTTCGTATACTTAAGCACAAGCAACACAATTGGGCACTGTCCATGTAGTCTAGATATATCTATTGATGTACAACCTGCAGCGTTGGCCCGCATTTAGTTCCTCTCCAGACCTGCTGTTCCTTGCGTGTGCAGCCCAAATCAATAGCCCGACTCAAGCCATAAGGATAAACTGCTATCTCAAGGGTTTCAAATGCAAAATATCAGACGATAATGATTCTAACCGATCAATTGTATCAACCACACAAGACACACACCTATCTTAGCTTCTAGATGACCGTCACGAACAGATCCAGATATAAAAAACACACACGAATCGAAACATAATCGATTGAGGAGACTTTATTTAATTTATTTGATTTTTGTTATAGTTTTAGTTTGTCGTTCATCGATATATAGTACATATAGCATATATTGTGTTGGCCATTGTGTGCACATTCTGTAGCATAAAACCAAAGTTTAGCATTTCGTATTGAGATATATATGTATTTGTAAAGAAGATTTATACGGCAACTCAAAGCATTTCACACGTAACACACACACACCACACAGAGATCAGTTTATAGGATAACCAGGCTTAAAAACAAACGAGTAAAACAAAAACAAACAACCAATCATTGTATGAAATTGCATTCAACGTAATCACAACGGAATCACTGCAAATAATTAACTAAAATATTGTTATAATTCACAGGCAAAACTGAAATTGTTTAGCGTAGTTGATGAATTTTTGTATATAAACTTGACATAACGTGTAGAAATAAACGAGAAATTAAATGGAATGATAATACCGAACTAATAATGAATAATAATGATTTTGCGGCAGCTGAAAAAAAAAGCAACTGGCGGCGCAGGCAGCACGCGAGGCATCATCAACAAGAACAAAGAAAATTCACAAATTTTTTATACAAACTGCGGCAATCAAATTGAAAGATTTAAAAAATTTTTCAGCCTTTTGCCTGGGTAGGCGTGTTGCATGCGCTGACAGCGGTTATTGCCTAATAAATAACACACGAATAGCAATGTCTGATGAATAATTATAGAAATTACAACTGAGAATTGTCATGTATTGCTGCGGATTATGGTTTAATACGCAGATGAAGATGCAGATTTACGAAGCAAATATGAATGGAAACTGAATTTAGCTGATGTAAAATGATAGAAATGTGTCCGTTAAGTCGGTTAGGTGTGTAATGCATAATATAAATAATAATGATAATAACTAATAAAATTGAAAAATATGTAATAACTAAGAAGTGCTGTTTTATTGGGGTTTGTTTTCAAAAATATAATCTAATCGGGCGATTGAAAACAATTTTTTATTCCAATAATTTAAAAAATTATTAAAAAATTATTAAATAATAATTAAATTGTTTTTGAATTTTTACTTCTGACAAGTCGAGTATTGATTTAAATTTAATTATTTTAAGTACAAAATTAAACTGAAATAAACTTTTATTGTGTGGAGATCCTTAGAATCTGCATGACAGAAAAAATCCATGTAAAATTCCCTTTGAACTGATTTTGACTTACCAGATCTGAAAATGTTTTCCAAATTTATGCACTTTCCTTAATTTGAATTAAAAGTCCAGATTGCTTTTTGTTTTTGCTCTTTTGGATACCAAAAAAGTTGAAGAAATTTTATTGTTCCTTTACACGTATCTAATCGTATATGAATAATGAAATCGTTTCCGTTTAAAAATTTTTCAAAGGCAAAATTGTACATAATATGTAATTCGTTATGTTTTTGTATATGTATATATAATTAATTCAATAACTTTTTGTTTTTTTTTGTAATCCATGAAGTGCGCTAAAAAGTAAACGTTTCTGTGTTTTGAAAATGCACTTTAATTTAGTTTATTTTATTTGTTTTTTTTGCTATACTCACTTTAACCAACCGTACTCACTGAATGCAGTTAAGTAGACTTCTTGCTACTTTGAGAGAGAGACTAGACGATCTCCTATATTCTGTGTTGTTTGTGTGTTGTGTTGTGTGAATTCACGATACGGCTATTCAACATCAAATTGGTGTCACTAGTTAAATGGTTAAACGGGTAAAACAGTTCTGCACGGCTTAATTGCTCTATTTGTTTTATTGTATGTACAATAAATTCGTATTACTCTTATTTATTGTTTGGCATTCGTATTTTGGACCTACGAACGTTGCTCTCTAGTTCATTTGTTCTGTACACGTGGGGCTAGCGATCTTTTAATGGATTCACATGGATCATTTTTAAAAGCCTTCTAAACCCACTGTTATTGAACAAATCGTCTAGATCGCCTGGAATTACTCCAGTTAAAACAGAATAACAGTTGTTTTACCTTTTAGGAAATCGGGGAGTGCACCTTGTGGGTTCCATATGTATACATACAACATATGTACCATATCTTCATATTTTGAGTTACTAAAGTCCTATAAAGTTGTTATTGGTTTGTGGACAATGTTTACTCTAGTTTATACCGGCTAACCTGATCACGTCTTATACGTAAATTTGCATAGCTAAGTATACAGCAATATATGTATCAAGTCATCCGAATCCTCCATAATTAACAGGGCAAACATCTTACTGATAAACATTTACAAAACGCCTTCGTCAACGGTTCTATGAGATATTTGTGTTCAAGGTAGGCCCGTTTTCTTAATTTAGTCAATGTTTCACCTCAATAAATAAGTATTAAAATATTAAATAATGGTATAATAAGTAACTAAGTAAATATCTTCTATTAACTGGTATTTAAGAAAACGGACCTTCGTTGAACGTTGATTTAAAAAAAAAACATAATCTGTGGTTCACTCAGTTCGTCATGTGAAAATACAAAACCAAACCAACCATTTTTGACTATTTCAAATTTTTCAATTCAAGACTTTCAAAACTGGTTGGTTTTAGAATTTTCACCTCAGCGACCACAAATTGTGTGATGTTCTTGGATAATTATTATTTTTTTTGATCTAGATGTTGCTTCACTAGGTCCTACATTTAATATTTAGAATTGCATCCTCTGGTCGTAAAGCTACAAATATTAAACACTATTTTTCGCCTCGTATGAAACTATTTTCTAGGTTTGTATTTTCGTAACTATTTGACCTCAGATCCCTCATTATTTTTTCAAAGGGTCTGCTGCCTGTTGGCTAACGCATTCGAATCGCACTTATCGGTGTTAAGAACTAAGTTTTTGATTCTCATGAATCGTTGTTTCCGTTGGTTTTTTATTATTATTATTATTTTGTGAATGCTCTGCACAAATACTATATATTGGATTCTAATCGAAGATTGCTTATTTATTGACCCCAGCAATATTCATTGATCTTCGTCCCTTGATAAGAAATTCGTATCCAAACTTCATTCTCTAAACGAAAGTAACCCAAAAATGCGCCTCGAAAGTAGGGGATAGCGATGTGAGACGCATTTTAAGATGGACGTTGAGCTACCCAGTTTTCGAAAATGAAATTACATATTAACGACTAAAAAAAAGGCCTGTTCAGTGATCACATTTCTCCTATCGATATGTGGATAAGAATTAATTATAAGAATTTGTAGATCTTCCGATATTCCTGAAGTACTTGTGTATTAGCAATCTTCAAGATCTTTTTTAACATTATGCAGGGCATTTTGGAGTCGACAAGGCCGAATCTTAATATGATCTTAAGCTGATTTACATGGCGGATGAGATCTGCTGCCCCTGTTGATAAAGCTGATCTTGTTGCTGCGGCTGTTGTTGCTGCTGCTGTTGCGGCTGCTGTTGCTGCTGCTGTTGGTACTGCTGCTGTTGCGGCTGCTGTTGGTACTGCTGTTGCGGTTGCATTTGCTGCTGTTGCGGTGCCAGTTGCAATGGCGGCGGTGTATTGCCAATTGCTGCCGCTGCGGCTCGGGCATTTTGCTGCGTTGTGGCCTCGTTGGTCTTGAGGAAATATGTTATTAAATCGATGGGCAGCGGGAACACAATCGTCGAATTCTTTTCCGCGGATATGGTGTTGAGTGTCTAAGGTATAAATTCAAGGCATAAAAATCAATAATAAATCTCCAGTAAATCCCTGATAAGTCAGTGAACCCACCTGAAGGTATCGCAGTTGGAGTGCGGCCGGCGAATCGCCAATCACCTCGGATGCCTCGCGCAGAGCCCGCGACGCCTTCTGTTCTCCTTCGGCGGCGATGACTTTGGCGCGGGCTTCTCGGGCTGCCTCTGCCTCGGCGGCCATGGCGCGTTGCAGTTGCACGGGCAGACGCACGTCCTTGCTGCTCGGTCGATGGAGAAAATGAGATTAGCCGGCGTGACTTGCAGATAGCGGAAATACTCCTAACTCAAAGCTAAGAACATTATTGCGCCCACAAAGTTTCTGCACTCAGACAAATTTCCCCATAAATATTATATTTTTTCATATATTTAAATACCGTATGCATTTAAAAAAAAATATAAAGTTATATTTTTTTAACGAAAGTAGATGATCCTTTTTTCTAAAGAAAGAAAACCCATAACCCTTAACACCTAATAATTATTAACATTATTATTCATCACAAGGAAGAGACAATTTACGATTTTTAAATGCAAAAACAATTAATCATAAAAAAGTTACTAAAGGAAAAAAAATATAAATATTTGTAAGACTAATCCGTTTTCTCGACCGCATGTTAAATTTAAAGTCGGCTTTAAACGTTTTTAAGCTTATATCCTTACCTAATTATCTTTAATTTAAGGATAATTTTTTTAAACTTTATAAGGTTAAAGTCCAAAGAGAAGCTTCAACTCAAAGCTGTTTTTTAAAGTGCCCATCAGCGTTTTCCATTTTAAATTGTAAGCCATCAACCCAAATGCGCGAAGCTGTATGCTAATGTGCCCCACAGCGTAATGGGGCATCTTTAATTCAAACGCGGTCTCGGGAAAACATTTTTTACGGCCAACGAAGCGAGAAGTTTAATTTATCAAACAAAATATCGTTCTATTTGTCTCAAATTTAAATCGAGTTATATAACTCATAAACACCATCATTTTATTGGCCATTTGAGGATGTTATAAACCAGCTGATCAATTTCATAACACAGAGAAGAAGAAGTGGAAGGATACAATAATGAAAAATTCAGCAACTGCCATAAAATGAAACCGTTTTCATGGCAAAACGGCCAAGTTTTTTGCCTTTGGGGCGAGAAGTGGCAGTTTTTTGGGGTAGAAAGGTAGGAGCCGAGCCACAACAGCATAACCACAACAACAATAATGCTACCAACAACACACGTCAAGTTGTTGCAGCTGTTTTAACATGGCCAACAGCAGTGGCTCTTCCAGGCCGTCATATTGTTGGCCATGTGTATGAGCATTTGACAAGCCAACGTCACACACTTGGCGCTGCGAAAAACTGAAGCTGACAAAGTAGCCACTTGCCCCCCGTGAGCGGCAAATAATAAATTATAACAACAGGGCCTCGGTGACAGCAGACAAAGGGCAGCACAAGCACAGGCACACAGCTCCCACACTTTCCGCCCCATTCCCCATCATCCATCCAGCGTTATTGTGATAAATGCCCGGAAAAATGGTAAAACAAATAAAACAAATAACCAACAAACTCGAGTGCTGTGGCCTTGCTGGGGCTCTGACAATGTTGGCGTAGCTCAAACTAGCCAATTTAAATGTTATATAAGCTGGGAATTACTGAAGGCTCAAGAGACTTCAGTCAGCAGAAGCGAGGGGGCATCCCAGGATTTCATAAAGTTATAATAGGGGTTTTTGGAGGACCTCGAATTGTCAACATGATTGGGTAAATTTAAATTTGGTTTCTCAAAGAATTATTATTATATAATCATAAGGATTTGATACTTCACATCATCACAAGTTTTAATGGAACAGTTTAATAAGCACATGGGCTAAATCATAAAGCATGTCTGCGGTCACACGACTATCTTGCATTGGGCACAAGTCAATTCTTCTGCCCGCATTTTGAGCACTCCTGGTTTAAAATATAAAGGGGCTTATCAAACGAAGTATCTTTTGAAATAGCAATCAAAGTAACTTATTATGCTTAATGAGCATTTATTTATTTAAATGTCCCTGTAGACAAGGCCATTCAATATAAACTGATTAAATTGGAAAACAACAAACATATACAAGCTTTTATGAAAAAAGTAAGTTATTCATTCGTGTCAGTGGAGCGTTTGAAATCAGCCGACATACAATTTCATCTAACTGGGACACAAGTCGATATCCACTTTACAATCAACCGAAAGTGAGGTATAAAATTCGAAAACACTAAAACTAATCCATTGCCTTTAAAGAAATCACCTCCAATGAGTAGCACTAAAAGGCAAAGCTTACAATATCCTCGAGACCGTATCAACTTCGACTTGGAGGCGAGGTGAAACGTTTATAACATTACTTTTATAGCTTGACATAGAAACTTTTCCAGGTTGCCACTGCTGCAAGTGTTCTGTGTGTGTGTGTGAGGGGGTGAAAAAGCTGTGTGCTACTTACATTTCAACACGTTCAACTTTGATGCCCCAGGCATCGGTGGCTTCGTCGAGTTGAACCTGTTTATGATTGGACGCCAGGTTGAGGTTGAGGTGGTCGGTTGAGTTGGTTTGGTTGGTTTAGTTGGTTTGGTCGGTTGGAGGTGGATGAGCCGTGTGAGAAATAGCAGTAAAAATACATTAGTTTTTGTTTACACGCGTTTTTCAGGTCGTTAACAGTTTTGTTTCGGTTTTGCTTTTATTTCCCACCCTCTCCCCTTTTTGCCTAGTGCATTTTTCCGCACATTGTTTGTGGGTCGTGCAGCATCCTTGAAATGAAAAACTAAAAATGCAGCACTTGGAATCGTCGAGGGGCGGTGAAATGGGGCGAAGAGGAGCCGCGGAGCCATGGCAACTTGGCATTTTTCACATGTTCGCACATCGACGTGCACCAACCCAAACGGCTGCCGCTGATGCTGCTCGAGATTTTCGCCTGATTTTGAACTATTTTTCATATGGCATGGAAAATAAATAAATAAAACGACCCGTTGCCGTGGCTTGTACCATAGAATTTGGGTTAAGTTGGCAGCTGCTAAGATATGCGGCTCGTAACTTCATCGCCTCCTCCTCCTCCTCGCCGTTGCCTTTTCAATTTGCCAGCTATGAAAAAACGCTTTGGCTCCGAGATTATTCTCATGCCAGGCACGGAGGCCAGACAGACATTTCGCCTTTGGCAGCTGTTAAATTTCGCAATTAATATTTCGCCGACGGAGTTTTACCGCAAAAACTTTAAGGTTTATGCAGCATAATTAGAAGCAGGGACTTAAATGTCATCTGTCAGCAGAAGGAACTGGCAAGTAGCCGCCTGGCTGCATTTATTCTGCGTGGATTTTCTCGTTTCCCCGGTACACGCAAAGAAAATAAGGGATTGAGGTAGAAATGAGTTAAGAGGAGTTTATATTTAAGAAGTCTGTAAGTGGAAAGCCACGCAATGAAATATTTTGATACCTTGTTAAGTACATATGGCGCCCAACGTGGGGCATTTAAGAGAAATGGCGCCCAACGTAGGAGATTTTATTTATCCTTTGGTAAGAAACTAATAGTACTTTTAATTGTTGTAGCTATGAATTTTGAGATACAGCTTTATGAAGATTTAAATTAATCAACTTTAATTTAAGTTTTTCTTCTCCTAATTAACTTTGTTTGCTGTGTACATTTCTTTGTCCCGGTATACTAAGTAAATTAAGGGAAGCAGCTCGACGGAGTCGCTGGAGTCTTTCGGAGAGGGAGAGAGAGTTTGTCGGCGGGCCGGGCCAACTGCGACTGTCATCCGTTTTGAACTCACCTGCATTGTGCCGGAAATCGTCATACGCTCGCTGAGTATCTCATGCAAATGCCGAGTTCCCATTGTGTTTCGTAGAGTAGTCTGTGCCAGTAGCCTGGTCGAATGGTGAGCATTTTCCACGTTCGCGATAGAGACGGTTGCATTTGATACCCGATAGTAAACCACTGCATCCACCGAAACCGTAACGCTATCCTTTGTGAGAACCTACAAGATGCAGTGGGTATTTTGTTTTTTTTTTGTTTCTTGGTTTGAAGGGACATTTTTGCTTTTTGCTTTCTCTATTGTTCCTGCTATTGTTGTAGTTGGTCTGTTAGTTATTTTTATTATTCGCTTGTTATTGTTGCCAGCGAAAACACATTCACAGACGTTAGAAAAAATATATAAATGTGCGTATATACAGATATATTCGCAAGTATATATACACATGTGGGTGATAAGCTAAGCATTTTGTATATCTCTGTATCTGTATATCAGTGGCTGGCCAGTTGTGCTGTGCACTTTATGGCCAAGGGGAACGAAAAGAGAGTGGTATAATGCGAATGCACTTGACTTGAACGTCGCTGGCTTCTTTGGTCGCTTTTCTCTAATAGAACTAAGTGCAGGGAGTGCAAAACTTTTGCCACACAGACTGAGGACAGACAATGCCGAAGGAGACACACTCTCATACAAAGGCAGTGCTTTCATTTTGATTATTGCATCTGTGTCTGTTTCTGTGCATTTGGATTTGCATTTTTGCTTTGCTTTTTTGCATTTGAATGTGTATCATCTGTGTATCTGTTTGTGCATCCCCAAAAGTCTTCGCATTGTTTTGCATTCAGCGAACGAGCGAGTTATCCTAGCAATTTGCCGACACAAGTTTTATGTGCTCGAATTGCGATTCGATCATCTGAGGAGCAAACTCAAACTCAAAACCCAAAAGCTTGGTGGGTTACAGTGTATAAGTTATGGTACAGAGAGAAAGATAATGGGGAAGTTGAACAAATTACGTAGCAAATTATAAGCTGAAAAAAATAAAAAAAAGGAAACAACTCAAAAGCTAATCAAACTCAACAACCAAAAGGCATTAAATTTGTTATATAAGAGGTCTTACTTTCTTACGTTCAAAGGGGAAAGAGAGTTAGTGTGGCAAGGGGTTATTATATTCAAGGAGGAGAGATAGTGGGGCCAGGGTTTTTTTGGGGGGAAAAGAGTGGGTCGGTTATGTACACATCCGTGCTTGGATTTATTTATTTTTATCCCTATTTTTCTTTTTCTTTTCGGCCAAAGGCCCCTGCTCGCATAAGTTGGCTAAACTTATGCCCAAACTATCTACGCCCACACACAAACGAGTGCATATAGCAGTGGTAAAAAGTTGTTCCCTCAACGACGGAACGCTTTACGTTTTATGACCTGCCCAAACATTGTTCGGCGTAGTCTAGACCGCTTTTTACGGCCTCCCTTTGCAAAGCTGAAGCTGTGGTGTCAATGTTGTTTAGTGTCATCGTTTCCACTCGGCCAGTTTCGAGTGTTTTCCTTGCTCTGCCTTTTGTGGGCGAACTTTTTGGGGAATGGAAAATCTCTAGAATTTTGCATGTGAATCAACTGAAATGTGAGCAGCAGCAATTGGAGAAGTTATAAGACTGGGTGAAAAGGAAGTATATTCCAGCCAATCCAGTTATGCATTTGAATTTGGCAAGATTTATTCCTATTTGTTCGGATGGGATAAATGGTTGCCATTTTATAAAGTTTAAAGCCTTGGCGAAATAGTTTAGTATTTAAATAAAACCAGGATTTTTCTTCTGCTTTTTAAGTCCGAATTAAAACATGTTTTAGTCTGAGATAATAAAAAAGTTTTAGGACTGTGTACCACGAGGCGTATACTTTATATTGTGGACATAAACCTATGTTTAGTGAGTTTAATTTAGTCGCTCTCTTCGGCTGCTTTCATTTTATTCTAGAAAAATTTGTTTTTTTATGAACCTACCCCAGAAGATATAAAATTTGCATTGAAGCTTAAATAACAGTGTGAATGATTAATTTAAACAAATATCTTAAAGTCGCTAATCCGATTTTCAGTTGATAAGATGATAAATTAAATTTGCTTTAAAGCTGGTACAACATGCGTATGATTAATTAAAAAACTCCTTTAAATCTCTAATCCGATTTTCAGTGTGCCTGCAAACATTTCAGAGATTGACTCACTTCAGTCAGCTTTCATTACGACCAAATGCTCTGGCTTAAAACAAATAATCCCCAAATTCAATTGGGCATTGTGTGTGCATTCTATTCTATTGAAATATATCATGGGCCTTCTTCGCTTTGCATACCTTGGCATAATCATGCACGATTCACTTCATTATGAATGCCGTTCGAACAACCAATGGACAAAGCCCTAAATCAATTTGGCTCGAACAATGGCTTATTATTTCGAACAATAGTTGGGTGGTATAGTTTAAAAGGGGGTGACAATTGGGGCGGTGGGTGGTGGGTGGTTTTGTGGGTTTTTGTGGGCTGTGACTGTGTTTTTAGGTGGAGTGATGCAAAGTTGTTGGGATATAAGTCGCTTGTTCATTGCATTTTGCAGAATAGAATTGAATGAGCAAACGTTGAGAAGGAATCAATGATGAAACCATGGAAATAAGAGCAGAGTTGTTAGAGATATAGAGAGAAGGGGATTCGGAATCGGAAGTGAATGAAATGAAAATTCCAAACGATAGTTTATACACTGTAACACCTAAACTAATGAGTTTTTTTTGATAAACATAATTAGGTTACTTATTACAATTTGCACAGTTTATGCTGGAAATTTTTGTCAGCACTTAAAACGATTTTATTTCAACTGAAAATGTCTTTCATTTAGCTACCGACTACAAGTGAGTGATAGAGAGAGAGAGAGAGACAGTGGAAAGAGTCAGAGTGAGTCGGAAATATAATTGTTTAGCCTTTTTGAGTCACTTGTTTTATCTTGAGCTCCGAACTTTGTTACTAAGTATCTTATATAGTAAACTATATAGCCTAGTCTATGGTAGAGCTTGAAAATTATCGATATTTTCGATTTTTCACATTATTGTTTTGATAATTTCGATGCATAAATATAGTAAATATCGGAAAATATCGAATATTTGATATTTTTTCAAGGTCTAGGCTATGGGGCAACTACTGATGCTGAGATGCTGTGATGCTGGGACTTGCTCTAGCTCTAGATCTTTGGCTTGCTTTTCGCATACTCTATATGGCTACTATTATATCATTTTATATCACAATTACAGTTACGATTCTAGCGCGTTTTGGCGGGCGGGCGGCGGCTATTGTTTTTTCTAATGCTCTGGCCTTTGGCTTTTTGGCCTGCATGCGTGCAGGAGTTGAGTTACCACTTTTTAACAGCTTAAACCACGCAAAACACACATAGATGAACTCGACATTATATGTATATATGTATATTCGCTGTGCGGATATATATATCGCATATATACAATGTGTTTTCTTGCATTTTTGGGAGGGGTGCGTCCTTTCGCTTGTGCTCAAACAAATCAAATTGTAACGATTTAATTAGTTAGTTGTACAATACATAATTGTTGTTGTTCTTTTTTCGGACGGGGTTCGGGGTGTATTTTTTTTAGGGATGGTGGCTATGTTTTTCAAACTAAAAGCTGTTCGTGTGTATGGGTGAGCTGAGGTGTTTTTTCACTAAATGTTTTTGATGTCTGTGTGTGCTTTGTGTGTGAGTGTGTGTTATATTTGGTGTGGTTTAGTTTTATTTTTGATTTTATACTTTTGTTTTCCAGTATTACCATTATTGTAAACAATCTGTGGCTGGAATTTGGTATTGTTTTGTATTTTTTCGTTTAAGACAGTTAGAAAGCTTTTTAGAATAGACATTTATGGAAATATATATTTAGCATGCTCTCAAAAATTATTTGAACGCTTAACCGAACTGGGGAGAGTGGGGGTTTTATCAAGTAAGTAAGTGCAATTCGATAGTAATTTTTCTTTTTGTGTGATTTGTTTTGGGGGTTTTTCTTGGTTCCGTTTCTTATATATGGTTTTGCTAAACAAAACTTACGTAGCTCATAAAACAAAATCAATATATATGTAGATATATAGAGACAGAGAGATAGAGAGAGGTAGTTATATAGTTAATATATAGAGCGTGGGTAAGATAGACAGTCAGATAGAGACATATAGATAGTTTAGACAGAGAGAGATAGAGAGACAGTGAGAGATCGGTTTGTGGCTGCTTAGCAGGAGAGTGAGCAAGACAGATGTAGTAGACAGAGAGAGGTATAGATAGACAGATTATAATATTATTTTTTGGTGGGAGGGTGTGCAATTAACAGTGTTTCTGTTTGGGGGATCCACTTGCATTTTAAGCTACACAAGACCTTAAGTTTTTTTTTCTGTGTTCTGGTGTCGCTGTCTTTGTGTGGGTGGGGTGGGGTGGTGGGTGGTCTTGGGGTTTTGAGTTTGTGTGAGAGTGCTGCACCCTGTGTTCAGTGAACAAACATTTGACATTCATTTCTTCATCAACTTTTCTTTTTGGACAGACAGAGATAGAGAGACAGACAGTGAGTGGCATAGAGAGAGATAGAGGATATAGAGAGAGATAGATAGAGATAGAGGGGTTATGTGTGCGTGTGAGAGAGAGAGAGCCAATGCGTAATGCGTACAGTTCTTTTGTGGTTTTGCCCCGCCCCCGCCCACCAATTCGTTTTTGCATATGCATATGTGGTGCTCGGCTGAACACAGAGAGCGAGACAGATAGATAGAGAGAGATAGAATTTTTTTCAGTTGATATGCATTCTGGCACTTTTCTTTGATATTTTTTGGTTTTTCTAATTTTTTGTTTGGGTTTTTTTTCATTCCTAATTTGCAGGAGACAATCAGAGCTTTAACTATGCAAATTGTAATAACTTGAAGTTAATGTTTCAAAAGACATCAAAAAACTAAATACATTTACGATAACGATTACGATACGATTGAAAACAAATGAAAAGAAAGAACAGAAAATGAAAGTGAAACGAAATGATGCGCAAAAATCGCATTTCGTATGCACTTAAAGGGGAGATTTTCGGGTGAATGTGAATGTGTATGTAAATCTGGGCTTGTATGTGTCTTTTGGTGTTTGTGAATAATAACAACGTCAACGAGATGGCTTTTGGGGATTTTTCCGTTTTTTTTTTTATCCTTTTTTATCCTTGCTGCAGTGGCCTTCATGCGATTTACACAAAAAACCGAACAAACTCAAATGGAACACGAGAATGCTGGCGGATATGCAAAAAACGGAAAAAAAAATAATAAAAAGTGGCGTTTATTTTCGGCTTTGGTGTGTGAGTTTCTGTGTAAATGAGTCTGTGAGTTTGCTCCACACGTGACGTCAGCAAGATGTTGAAAAAGCCAGCGGATTGAAATCGAACCAGTTACCATTATTTCTATCTTAAAATTCACTTTGGCCTCGCTTTTATCATTTTTTTCATCACTTCTCCATATTTCATTTAAGTCTGCCAAGCGAAGAATGAAATATGCACAGGTAAAAATGAGAAATGTGTGGGGTTTTTCTGGGTTGGTTTCGGGATAAAAGATCAAGTAAGCGAACTAAAGGATGAAAAATTCCCAAAAATAAATGGAGCGCGTATCTCGATGAGACTCCAGTGTGTGTAGATGTATTTTTGAGGGCAAGGTGAGTATTCTTCCGCTGTATATGTATGTATGTATGTGTGTAAGTTGTGGCTGTGTGTGTGGTTGAGTGCACACCAATGGCAATAATAATAAAAATTCTGCAACATTGTTCAACTTCAATACGACAACAAGTACCATACAAAGTATTTAAAATATATATATAGTATATATATTGTGTATATATATAGGATACAACAAGTCTACCAACAACAACAACAACGAGAGAGAGTAGAGAGAGCATTGTGTTAGTGTGAATCTGAATCTGTGTGTGTGTGCGGTTGTGGGTGTTAGAACCACTTCTTCCATTTTCTTTTTTTTATTTTTATATAAAAACAAAATAGACTGCAGCCACTCGAAATGGTAGGAAAAGAGCAACAAATTAAATAAACTATAAATGTGGTTTTCTTTTCACTTTGGCTGTTGATGATGCTGTTTTTTGGTATTGTAGTGGTTAGAAAGAGGGTATCTTAGCTGGTTTTTGGGAAAGGGGAGATAGATATGTTAATAGATAGACAGATAGATAGACGTAGATATATAGTTATAGATATAGGGTGTTTATAGAGATAGAGAGGCTGCAGTGGGTAGAAAGAAAGTCAAAACCGAAAGAAAAGAAATGGAACAAGAAAGTAGAAACCAAAAGTAAACACCGTGACATGCGACGACAAGAAGAACAACGAGGGGGAAACAAGTCAAAGAAACGAGAAACGAAGAAACAGAATCAGAAACAGACAACGTTGCGTATGCGTAATTCACGCTCCAGTTGCGCGTCCTGTATCCTTGTGTCTATATCTGTATATGTGTGTGTGTCTGGGTGTTTCTGGTTGTTTGTGTGGCTTTCAGTGTCCATGTGTGTGAGTGTGGGTGTCCTGTCAGCAGAATCCACAGCCAACAACTCAGATTCCGGCTGCTGTTCAGCCAAGCTTTCACTTGCGAATTCCGCCAACAGGACCAAAAATCTGTATCTTTTTATCTGGGTGTCTCGTATATATGTATCCTTAATTTTTGGTCAAAACACAAGACAAGAAAATGCAACCAAAAACGTATAAAATAGTATATTTCTCTTGTTAACAAACGTGTCGACTGGAATAACTTGTGGCAAAAGCTAAAAGTTTAATTGGTTTCTGCTTTACTTGGCATCGTTTTTAGTGTGTTTGTGTATATGTGTTTAGGTTGGTTGGGGACTTTTTGAAGTACATAAACTAAAAAAGATTTCCACTTCTGGTTAATAACAACAACAACAACAACATCGAAGAAGGCAGCAGCTTGTGCAGCTGCCACTGCAGGTTGTAACTGCCTTTCTTTTTTTTGGTTTTTTTTTTTGTACCATCCGGAAAATATGTAACCGGAACTTACCTCCTGCGGTGGCACATCGTAGGTGCGGGTACGCAAGTCCACGCGGGCATAGGAGTCGATGCAGGGCAGGATGAAGAAGATACCTGCAATTATGGTTGAGATGCTTTAAACGCTCGTTATGAGATACGGAGAAAACTAAAAGGACACTGGCCAACAGGGATTCGAGATTTGTTGGTAAAAATTAAGATTTATAAGTTTATTTCAAGCTAAGGAAATATAAAACATCGAAATTATCGAAACGATATTGTAAAAATATCGATATAATCGGTAATTGTCTAGTTGTATGGGGGAGATATCTTGAAAGTCTTGAAAAATTGTCAGTGCTATTACAACTTTTTCCTTTTATATTTTATACTTAAAGACAAAAATAGACAAAACTATAACCTTTGCCTAATTCATTAAACAATCAAAACTGTCATATTTATTTTTCAAGAGATAAAATAGAAGAAATACGCAAAATCATAGTTAATTTTAGAAAATCACTTTCTTTTCAGTGCTTCCCCTTGCTCTAAAAAACCAAAGTGGCCAGGCAATTCTTCAAAAAATTATGCAAACTAGTGTCATGACTGTGGGAGAAGTTCGCCTCGATTTGCCTAATCTCTTCCTCCCTCGGAATGAGAGCACAAAAGCAGAGCACACAGACAGAGACAGAGAAAGAGGCTCGGCCCCAGAGTCGCTAATTTGGAGCAAGTGCAGCAATTAACACAAATTCTTGTCGCCAGCGAGCGGCACTAAAATTTGCATAGAATCGTTACCCCAGCTCACCTGCACTCTGCACCTCCACCTGCACCTGTTAGCCCGTTAGCCCGTTTTGCATCTGGGAAACTGCACCACTGAGTACTCACCTGGGCCCTTGGCACCGCCCTGCATGAGACGACCCAAACGGAAGATAACCGCGCGCTCGTACTCCTGCACCACCTGCGAAATGCAAAATGTGGCACGTGAGTGAAATGTTCATGAAATGAAATTGAAACTTGAGGAATGCCAAAGGGGAGCAACTGGCAACTGGGAAATAAAATAATACCTATTTTCAATAAATTATAGCTAATTTGATATATTTCAAAAATATTTTAAATATAATTCCTAAACATTTTAATTTAGTTTTAACATTTAAAACAAAATATTGTAAATTGAACCTACTAGTATTATATACTTAAAATAAGTCGCAAAGAGCTAATCAGCATTTTAACTTGAAATATTTAATTTTTAATATGCAACTAAAACTGCTAATTCACAAGAGGCTTAACATTTAAAAAGAATATTCCTAATCCGCTTATGTAAGTGGAAATAGTATGCAAAAACTAGGTCATGGATTTAAGAGAGTTTTATTATACACATATGTCCTACTGCTAAATGACTTAAATAACTTTTTTTAGAAGGCAACATTTTAAATATTTATATATTTAAATGTGTTAGTGTTACTAAAATATTTTCCCATATAATAACTTCATTAATAAATCTGACTAAATGAAAATTACTGTAAAAAATTATTACGTAGCTATAAAAGCTAAAAGCTTTTCCTGAAAAATATAGCTTCTAATTAATTTTACATAAACAATGTAATTAGAGGACCATTAAAATTGTAAAAATATTCTTTTGTGTAAATGCAATATGTACCTTGAAGCAGACGAAGAGGCTGAAGGGTAGCGTCATTATCACAAGAGCCACGGAGAGAAATATTAGCAATTTTCCGCATGTTGATGCCTTATCGCTGATTTCCTCGTCCGCTGAAGTAGAGAGAGAACGTGGCGAGAAAACGAGAAAAGTTCTTATAAATACATGTAACGTAGCAGGATGGAATCAAGTGCTCAAAGCAAATGCTGCAAATTAAGGCTTAAGCTATAAATTCGTTTTCGCTTTGTATTTTCCTCAGCATTTTCCTTGGGCTTCGCAGCTCCTTGGGAGCCAAGACTGTTACATGAATAATGCGCTGGGCATCAGGAAAAATATAAGAAGAAAAATAAATGCCTTAAACGAAAAGACCTCCGCATGGCGCATACAAAAATCGCAGACAGAATGTCGGATAAAAAAAAAAACCGAGCAGAAAAAAAGGCATTCTTCATTAGGGAGTACTACTACTCGTATTACTTAAAGTTTAGCCAAAAATTTAAGTTTTGTGCGAGGATTTCCTTTTTGTTTTTTTTTGGGGGGGCAACAAGTCGCCCATTTTGCTTATTGATACTTGAGACGCGCCATAATTTCGATGGGGCCCTTGTCGCCTCGTAAAAGTCAAATTTTGCTCCCTTTTTGGGGAAACTTGAAGGAAAAAATCTGTAGCATACTTAGGTGCGCACACCGAGAAAAAAAGGAAAGGCGGAGACGGAAATGGAAATTCGAAATACAAGCAAACAAGGAGTTGTGCAATACAATTAAAAGGAAATATCTCAGTAAATACTCATAGATAGTTTAGTCATTATAGTTAGTTTAGTTTAGATAGAGGTTACACATAGAAAGTAGAGTATAGTTTTGTAAACAGGTTAAAAAGTAGCTTTCTGTGTGTGTCTCGTGTTTTTCTGTTTGATTTTGGCTGTTGGGATGTGGGGGATCTTTTTCTGTATTTTTTTTTTCTGTTTTTTTCTTATGTTTCTTGGGCATTGTCCAAATTGGTGCGACTTACAATAGAGAAATCCATGTGAATGTTTTGCTTGTGTATCTGCAAGAATACGATAAATCGAACAACAAGAGAGAAATTAATCGGGGGGAAATGCTTTTCGGCTTGATCAAGCAAACAAAGCCAATTGGTGTGTCTTTTGTTTTAAGTTGATTTTTTTGTTGATTTTCTGGGAGTTCTGGTTTCTTGTATATCCGTGTATATTTTCCATGCCATGCAGTTTTTCTTTTGGGGGTTTTTAAAAGCATGCTTGAAACAAAACTTAAAAACTAGAGCTACGAAACTCAAGAAAAATCATAAATTATTCATGCCACACATTTAAATGCTGTTTACGCGCTGCTGTTGCAGTTTGTTTGCCTTCTGGTTTTTGGTTTTCTGGTTTTCACAGTTTTCAGCTGCAGCTGCTGGCTGGCAATTAGCGGCACGGCACAGTTTGCATTTCAGTTTCAATTACAGTTCATTGAAAAGTTGCCACAATGCCAACACCCAGCAACGGCGACGTCAGCAAAGTGTTTTTAACGAGCTCTCACCCACACAAATACACACTCACTTTTACTCACTCACACACAGACAAAACATGAAAAGCGACACTGGAAAATGGAAAACTTTGATGATGGGCGAGATCCTAGAGAACCGGGGCTAAGCCAACAAGCTGCCAAACATTCAAACTCCTGGCGGCGTACCGCAGCAAACTTTTATTGAAATTGATTTCAGAATAATTGCGATTTGAATGTGCGGCTCGGAAAACGAGAAGGAAAATCTGGGAAATCCGAGAGTTTGGCGCCGAGATGAAAGGCTTTCGGGATTTCATGGTGTGTGTTTGGAAAGCCCCTCGGGCTGTCGGTGACCGCAAATTCTAATAGATTTATAGCTAAATTGCTTCTATAAAAATGATAAAAAGATGCCGGAAGATCCGGTGGAAAAAAAATGTAGCTACTGAAATTGTAATTAGGCGAAGGCGGGGATTTATCTGGCCTTAATTGCCTCACCTTAAGCGGGGTTTTAAGTGGATTTAATTGAACACTTGATTGAATTGGCACACAGTTAATTAAATACATAATTTAAATAATTTAAAAATAATATGTAATAGTTAATAAGTTACTTATAGTTTTGATTAATATTATTTTTTGGTTAACAACATTTATATTTACATCTACTTTAAAAGAAGCAAAGCTAATCAACTGTTATTAAATAACTATTACTAAGGTTTACATTGTGGAATTTAAAATTTAAACATATATATTTTTGTTGCACCATCTTGAAAGTAAAAAAAACCGAAATTCAAGGAACCGTAAATCTTTCATATTTCCCACTTTTTACCAGATACATAAAAAATGTATACAATATTATAACAGAATTTTTTTTTAATATTTTAAAAAGCTTTAGATCAGCAAAATTTGAATGGCTAAAATAGCAAAAATCTCTCAAGGCAGCTAATAAAATAAACTGCCTGTTGGCAGTTTTAATAAATAAACCATAAAATACTATACATATTTTAATGGGTACTTTTAACTATAAACCATATGATCAGTGATAATTGTTTTGGGCTCTTCTGCCTGGTAAAACGCACTTATTTGGGTTTTCTTTTTTTTTGCTGCGGGTTATTTAGTATCTGTTATTCCATTTGTGTTGACCCCAACACACAAAAAACAGAACGAAAAGAGCTGAATTTACCTTAATGTACAATCTCGGCGAACAATGTGTGGTCATAATTTTTTAATGACCAGCCAACGGCTGTCCGTTACCCACTGAATCCACTCAGCCACTCACCCACTGAACCCACCGCCCACTCGACCCACTCAACCCGCTCCCACGCCCCCTTTTTGCCTCTTTCCGCCCCTCGCACCACATCAACGCATACGTCAGAGCGGCAGCCCCTGGCAAAAAGCTTTGCTCGGGAAATAGGTCAGCTTGATGTTGCTGCTGTTGGTGTTGCTGTTGCTGCTGCTGATGCTCATACTGATGATGTTGCTGCTGCTGCTGCTGTGGTGTTGCTGTGTTGTCCTGGTTGAAGTTAAAGCAATTTCTGATTGAATTTTGCATGGCAAATGCGAGAGAGAAAAGACTTTTGCAGGACTTCAGCAGGACCTAATGAAGCGATTAGCATGCATATGAGAAATGGCTTCGAGTTATATAGTAGGTACTCCTATATAGTATACTCTATAGACATTTATGTACAGTGTTCGATGTACACCTAACCTGATTAATCACACAGATACACAACACATCATTCGGTCGGTGGTTAAAGAGAGAGTGAAGAAAAGAATACGTATAAGTATTGTACAAAAAACCGAATTCTTTGTTCGTGATTTGTGGCTTAAGTCTCTAATCGAAATTTTGATGTTGGCAAATTGGATGGAATGGTGGTTCGTTTTTTTTATAGGGGCCACCACAAGCAACAAGTTCAGCCAGCCTACTACAGTGCACACTCTCTATAAGAGCTGAGAGACTTCAGCTCACCTCTTCGCGCCTCGGCTCGATGGATGGCCTGCTGCTGTTGCGATTGCTGCATGAGTGCATGATGACTGTGTGGCAGTTGCTGTTGTTGCTGCTGCTGCATCTGCTGCTGTGGTTGCTGCTGCATCTGCATCTGCTGCTGCTGCTGCTGTTGCGGCTGTTGGTGGTGCTCGCGTTCCCTCAACTGTGGTTGCTGCAACTGCGTTAGTGGTTGCTGCTGCTGTTGCTGCTGCGGATGCAACTGTATGGAGGCATTCACCACTGGCAATGGGGAGGAGGCCACATTGTTCGACTGATGATGGTGGTGCAGTTGGTGGTCCCTGTGGTCCCTCTCGTCCCGATCCTCAAGCTCTCGATTCCCCGCCGGAGCTGGTGGTGCAAAGCTGCTGGTGCGACTGGGCTGGTGGTGTTGCTGCTGCTGTTGGCGGTGCAGCTGGTGGTCCCGATGCTCCATGTCCATCATCGAATCGGGCATCAAGCCGCGTTCGCAAAACGACGCCAGTGCGATGGTTACTGGCTGTTCCTCCTGGTCAATCAGAGTTAGTCCTTCTCCTGCATTTTCTTCAACACACACACACTACACTACACTACACTTTTTCGCACACACACACGCACACTATGGGCTGAGCTAGTTTTCCCTGGCTCTGTGTCCATTTCCCATTCGGTGGTGCTACTCGGCTTCGGCTTCTTCGGCCTCTCCGGGGCTCCGGGCTCCCTGGCTCCTTTAGGTCCTGGCTGCTTTTCCTCTTTCCTTTTTTTCCACTGCTAATGCTGCTGCTACCTCGCTCGGAATCCAACTGAAAGTGCGCCAGCAGCCAGCATCCTTTTATATATCCTCCAGCCTCCAAAGCTCACTCACTCGCTCTCGCTCTCTCTCTCTTGAGTTGCTCGTTATCAGCCCGCAAAACCAGGATCAAAGAGCTTTTTGGTTGCAGGTGCAGCAGCACAGCATCATCAGCAACTTTCACCTTTCCCTACAGCTTGCACTGACCTTGCGCACTCCCTAAAAGATTGGTCCCGTTTTTAAGGAACTTCAGGAACGAAGCTTTCTCTTTGGGGGAAGCTTTTCCTTTCGAGGGGAAAATCCTGACTGGCTAACAGGGGAAATGAGCAACAAAGATGGAGAGAGGCTGGTTTTTAGTACCTTTGAGAAAGAGAGAGAATAATATGTACTAAAAATAGAAATTTCCCCTCCTCTAAAAACTCGTGTGTGTACAGGTGACAAACCTAATTTATGACACCTTCGAGAACGAACCACCTGCCTGCTACACTCCACATCCACATCCATTCTCATCCATTGTAGTCAGACAAGAGTGTGCTCCTGTGTTTGTTAACTGGCATGGAATGATATGTATGAGCACCGGCACATCCATACACCATACACCATACCATCTAACATCCAACATCCTGGCCAGAAAAACACATCCTGACACAGACTGCCACGCTTGACTGCGAATTTCTAATGAACCCACCTCCCACCGCCAATGAAAAGCCAAAGCCTGTCGAACTGTCGAATATTTTAGGTCACCTGCAGCTCCTGAGCTTTGCTTTGAGCTGTCAATTACCGTTTACGCTTCATTAAGCGCCAAAAAGGGGGTGGCGACTGCACACAGAGAAAATGTCAATTAAAATTGGAAATATGGATTGAAAGAAGCGTAAATATCAACCATCAATCTTGCAAATCAACATAGAGACCTAAAATATATTTTAAATGCACTAATTAAAAATTTTAGAAAATTTGTAGGCCAGATTTAATTATAATACATTTTTAATTTAATAATAAAATTTTTGTATTTTTATTAAATAGATATTTGTAAAAAATATATCATTTAATCAGAGAAATGGATAAATAATAGGTAAATAAACAGTCTCAAAATAAAACCTTTAAAAAAGTCATTATAACATTTTTGTAAGAAAACAATTTAAAATCAATAAAAAATGTGTTATATGGTTTTACAGCTTCAAACTTAAATAAAATATATTTTTAAGTTATTTTAACTTTATTTCTAAACCACCCCATAATTAATATATTTTTTCTGACTGTGTAAAATAAAAATAAAGTCGTCCCCTTCCTGAAGAACGCGGGAATGGGAATGTGACGGGGCATCCGATACACCGTGTCAACTGTCGCACCACAGTGCGTATGAGTGTCATTATGTTTGACATTCATTCACAACACTCCACAAAGGAGCACTCCACTCCACTCTGAAGCAGAGCAGAGACGGGCAGGGCAGTTAATTAATCTCGGGCTCTTGATTAATGTGCGGATTGATTTGGGTATTGCCACGCAAATTCCCTTTCGCAGACAAATGGGGCACTCGAGTCGTAGACTAGGTGCTTTATTATTGGGCAATCTGAGTGGCCTGGGACCTCATGACATAGCTCATGTGCCACACGTGCACACATTTAACACCAGATTCTAATCACAGAAAGGCTAGGGAATAGCCAACGTGTTCTGGCCATCCATTAAAGGTTAACATACGTGTTAGGAGTTATTAGCAATCGATTTTTGGTCCCCAGACAATTTGTGTTTCTTAGGAAGTATGGTTAACCTTTCAGGATACATCTAAATTAATTTTTTTAAT